GGTGAATGGGTGTTGACTGTGGTGAGGTGCATGTGTGTTGACTGTGGTGAGGTGCATGTGTGTTGACTGTGGTGAGGTGCATGGGTGTTGACTGTGGCAAGGTGCATGGGTGTTGACTGTGGTGAGGTGCATGTGTGTTGACTGTGGCAAGGTGCATGGGTGTTGACTGTGGCAAGGTGCATGTGTGTTGACTGTGGTGAGGTGCATGTGTGTTGACTGTGGCAAGGTGCATGGGTGTTGACTGTGGCAAGGTGCATGTGTGTTGACTGTGGTGAGGTGCATGGGTGTTGACTGTGGCAAGGTGCATGTGTGTTGACTGTGGCAAGGTGCATGGGTGTTGACTGTGGCAAGGTGCATGTGTGTTGACTGTGGTGAGGTGCATGGGTGTTGACTGTGGCAAGGTGCATGTGTGTTGACTGTGGCAAGGTGCATGGGTGTTGACTGTGGTGAGGTACATGGGTGTTGACTGTGGCAAGGTGCATGGGTGTTGACTGTGGCAAGGTGCATGTGTGTTGACTGTGGCAAGGTGCATGTGTGTTGACTGTGGCAAGGTGCATGTGTGTTGACTGTGGCAAGGTGCATGGGTGTTGACTGTGGTGAGGTGCATGTGTGTTGACTGTGGTGAGGTGCATGGGTGTTGACTGTGGTGAGGTGCATGGGTGTTGACTGTGGTGAGGTGCATGTGTGTTGACTGTGGCGAGGTACATGGGTGTTGACTGTGGCAAGGTGCATGGGTGTTGACTGTGGCAAGGTGCATGTGTGTTGACTGTGGCAAGGTGCATGTGTGTTGACTGTGGTGAGGTGCATGTGTGTTGACTGTGGCAAGGTACATGGGTGTTGACTGTGGCGAGGTACATGGGTGTTGACTGTGGCAAGGTACATGGGTGTTGACTGTGGCGAGGTGCATGGGTGTTGACTGTGGCAAGGTGCATGGGTGTTGACTGTGGCAAGGTGCATGGGTGTTGACTGTGGCAAGGTGCATGGGTGTTGACTGTGGTGAGGTACATGGGTGTTGACTGTGGCAAGGTGCATGGGTGTTGACTGTGGCGAGGTACATGGGTGTTGACTGTGGCAAGGTGCATGGGTGTTGACTGTGGTGAGGTACATGGGTGTTGACTGTGGCAAGGTGCATGGGTGTTGACTGTGGTGAGGTACATGGGTGTTGACTGTGGCAAGGTGCATGGGTGTTGACTGTGGCAAGGTGCATGGGTGTTGACTGTGGCAAGGTACATGGGTGTTGACTGTGGCAAGGTACATGGGTGTTGACTGTGGCAAGGTGCATGGGTGTTGACTGTGGCAAGGTACATGGGTGTTGACTGTGGCAAGGTGCATGGGTGTTGACTGTGGCAAGGTACATGGGTGTTGACTGTGGCAAGGTGCATGGGTGTTGACTGTAGCAAGGTACATGGGTGTTGACTGTGGCAAGGTGCATGGGTGTTGACTGTGGTGAGGTGCATGTGTGTTGACTGTGGCAAGGTGCATGGGTGTTGACTGTGGTGAGGTACATGGGTGTTGACTGTGGTGAGGTGCATGGGTGTTGACTGTGGTGAGGTGCATGTGTGTTGACTGTGGCAAGGTGCATGGGTGTTGACTGTGGTGAGGTGCATGTGTGTTGACTGTGGCAAGGTGCATGGGTGTTGAATGTGGTGAGGTACATGGGTGTTGACTGTGGCAAGGTGCATGTGTGTTGACTGTGGCAAGGTACATGGGTGTTGACTGTGGTGAGGTACATGGGTGTTGACTGTGGTGAGGTACATGGGTGTTGACTGTGGTGAGGTACATGGGTGTTGACTGTGGTGAGGTACATGGGTGTTGACTGTGGTGAGGTACATGGGTGTTGACTGTGGCGAGGTACATGGGTGTTGACTGTGGTTGAGGTACATGGGTGTTGACTGTGGTGAGGTACATGGGTGTTGACTGTGGTGAGGTACATGGGACTGTGTGAGGTACTGTGGTGACTGTGGTGAGGTACATGGGTATTGACTGTGGTGAGGTACATGGGTGTTGACTGTGGCAAGGTACATGGGTGTTGACTGTGGCAAGGTACATGGGTGTTGACTGTGGTGAGGTACATGGGTGTTGACTGTGGTGAGGTACATGGGTGTTGACTGTGGTGAGGTACATGGGTGTTGACTGTGGTGAGGTACATGGGTGTTGACTGTGGTGAGGTACATGGGTGTTGACTGTGGCGAGGTACATGGGTGTTGACTGTGGCAAGGTGCATGGGTGTTGACTGTGGTGAGGTGCATGTGTGTTGACTGTGGCAAGGTGCATGGGTGTTGACTGTGGTGAGGTACATGGGTGTTGACTGTGGTGAGGTGCATGGGTGTTGACTGTGGTGAGGTGCATGTGTGTTGACTGTGGCAAGGTGCATGGGTGTTGACTGTGGTGAGGTGCATGTGTGTTGACTGTGGCAAGGTGCATGGGTGTTGACTGTGGTGAGGTACATGGGTGTTGACTGTGGCAAGGTGCATGTGTGTTGACTGTGGCAAGGTACATGGGTGTTGACTGTGGTGAGGTACATGGGTGTTGACTGTGGTGAGGTACATGGGTGTTGACTGTGGTGAGGTACATGGGTGTTGACTGTGGCCAGGTACATGGGTGTTGACTGTGGTGAGGTACATGGGTGTTGACTGTGGCGAGGTACATGGGTGTTGACTGTGGTGAGGTACATGGGTGTTGACTGTGGTGAGGTACATGGGTGTTGACTGTGGTGAGGTACATGGGTGTTGACTGTGGTGAGGTACATGGGTGTTGACTGTGGTGAGGTACATGGGTGTTGACTGTGGTGAGGTACATGGGTGTTGACTGTGGCAAGGTACATGGGTGTTGACTGTGGCAAGGTACATGGGTGTTGACTGTGGCAAGGTACATGGGTGTTGACTGTGGCAAGGTACATGTGTGTTGACTGTGGCAAGGTGCATGTGTGTTGACTGTGGCAAGGTGCATGTGTGTTGACTGTGGCAAGGTACATGTGTGTTGACTGTGGTGAGGTACATGGGTGTTGACTGTGGCAAGGTACATGGGTGTTGACTGTGGTGAGGTACATGGGTGTTGACTGTGGCAAGGTACATGGGTGTTGACTGTGGCAAGGTACATGGGTGTTGACTGTGGTGAGGTACATGGGTGTTGACTGTGGCAAGGTACATGGGTGTTGACTGTGGCAAGGTACATGGTGTTGTTGACTGTGGCAAGGTACATGTGTGTTGACTGTGGCAAGGTGCATGTGTGTTGACTGTGGCAAGGTACATGGGTGTTGACTGTGGCAAGGTACATGTGTGTTGACTGTGGCAAGGTGCATGTGTGTTGACTGTGGCCAGGTGCATGGGCGTTCACTGTCACAAGGCAAAACCATTCAGGAGTTAAGTGGTACTTTTGTTGTTACAACCAGCGACCTCACAGCGGCAAAAGGTGAGAGGATCAACTTCATTGCACTAGGTTTTTAATCTCACATGGCCCAGTCTCTTTATGCAAAACAGCTAGTTGCCTGCCGAGAGAGTCGCACTGAGTACGACCTCCGTAGCTCCGGTGACGACTCCCAGGGATTTCCGTACAAATTGCTCTCCTGAACTGAATGGCACCGCCATGAAACAAACTTCAGAGTGCGAGGCAAACAGTTTGACCACTCCGCCATGAATACCCCCATCTCATTGTGGAGAGGACTCAGTATCCTTGTCCGAGTTGGTGGGCATGGGCAGAGCAGCCTGGAGTAGCCAGACATGAACCAAGGGCTCATCCTGTGATTAATCAGCACAGAACAGACGTGAACAGTCATTTTACTCTTGTGGAGCTAAAGAAGAATAGATCAGAGCACCCATAGATCTGTCCGAAGCAGCTACGGATCTGCCCGGAGCACCCATGAATCTGTCCAGAGCACCCATGGATCTGTCCGGAGCACCCATGGATCTGTCTAAAGCAGCTATGAATCTGCCCGGAGCACCCATGGATCTGTCCAAAGCAGCTATGGATCTGCCCAGAGCACCCATGGAACTGTCCAGAGCACCCATGGATCTGTCCAAAGCAGCTATGAATCTGCCCGGAGCACCCATGGATCTGTCCGAAGCAGCTATGGATCTGTGATGGCAGCTCTCAGTAATCACTAAAAGAAAACTATTATCTGTCGTTTTACTCTTGTGGAGCTATTGAGGAAGTGATCAGAGCACCAATTGATCTGCCCAGAGCACCCATGGATCTGTCAGGAACAGCCACTGATCTGCCCAAAGCACACATTGAACTGCCCAGAGCACTCATGGATCTGTTATGGTAGCTATCAGTAATCACTGAAAGAAAGCTATTATCAGTCGTTTTACTCTTGTGGAGCTATTGAAGAAGAGATCAGAGCAACCATGGATCTGTCTGGAGCGATGTGATGGTATCTATCAGAAATCACTAAAAGAAAACTATTATCTGTCGTTTCACTCTTGTGGAGCTATTGAGAAAGAGATCACAGCACTCATGGAGCTGTCCGGAGCGATGCGATGGTAGACCTCAGTAATCACTAAAAAAAAACTAATGACTACAGAAATTAGATGTCCGAGACGGGCTGTGGGAGTGACGAGAAGAAATAAAATCAGAAACGAGGTCATAAGAGAAAGATTCGGCACAGAACTAATTTTAAGTTTGGAGCCGCCGTGGTCTAGCGGCTAGGCACTCACCCGCAGACTGGAAGGTTGTGGGTTCGGTTCCTGAAGGAGGCCGGACTTTATTTCAATAATGACCTTGGCTCCTAGGTTAAACCAACCTTAAATGGGTACTAAGCAGTCCCAGAAAGTAAAGGCGGCCGGCGTGGTGTTGACCACATCAATTGCCTTTGGGTCTGTAAAATTTAGGCTTGGCACAGTGCCTTAACTTTTGTTAGAACACAGAGAATTATATGCTTAAAAACATGACATTCAATAAGTTAACACAAAACTATATTTCTTTGCAAACATTTTATCCAAGAATATCCTTCAAATCATTTAATTCCATTCCTAATATAATTATAACTTGCAAAGATTTCTTCATTTGGCTTCTTTCGCTAAAAGGTCTCTGGTAATTTGAAACACAGCAACCAGCGCAGCTAACTGTATCTTCTCACTCGTTCCAGCTGCCAGATTGTATCTGTAATAAAAGGTCATCAACTCTTTGAGCAACAGAACATCAGGCTGGACAATTCCTGGGTAACCACAGACTCAATGGACATTAACAACGTGTGACAGCAGAACTGCCACAGATGCAGCAACACAAATACTGGAGTAACTAGCCAGGCTTTTATGGTATTATTAAGCTAGGCATTAGTTAAATCAAGACTGGCTCCAGCTGACAGGTCATGCTGCTGATGTCACCAAACTGGGCTAACGATACGTTAATGCAGCATTTCTCAAACTTTTCTGTTTGGCAAACAATTTTTTCGGCAAACCTACCCTCAAAGCGGTTTGAATATTTAAGAAAAAAGAAAATTAAAAAGTGCAAATTTTATGTCAAACAGATTTGGAAAAATCTTTTACTGTTGCAGCGGCACCTAGTTTGAGAATCACTGCATTAATGTATCATTAGCCCGGTTTGGTGACGTCAGCAGCATGGCCTGTAAGCTGGAGCTGCTCTCGGTTAAATCATTCGCGCTTTGGTACTCATGGGTAGTACCTGGTCATACACAGAGTGTTGGTTGGGACTGAAAGAGGTGAAATAACAAAATGCATATTTTATACTTTCAAAAACTAATCAAGCATAGCGAAAAAATGTTAATCTAATTGTTGCCGTTCTTGTTTCTTGACCTCTTTGGAGCATAAACCTTCTAGCCAAATCTGTAAGCGGACTCTGTACTTACAGAAAGCCCTTTAAAGACCTGCCCATGTTTAAAGGATTGGGGGGGGGGGGCGCAAAGTGCCTTTTCATGTCACTGGGCTCTGAGCATGAATGAATGAATCCAGCTCTGACATCATTGCACATGGGACATTCTCAAGGGTGGTCTGTCTCCTTTCTCAGTAGCCAGGGGCAGGACAAGTGGATGGGGCTTCCTTGCAAAAGCATAGGGAAGAAGGATAACTGAAGTGATCTTTGCATTTGATATCACTAAGTCCAGCATAAGAATGGAGGTTGAGGTAGTAACTGCAACATTCCAATGGGTAGGAAAAATCTCAGCCACACCTGTAATAATGTCGGACTCGCACAGCATGCTCAAGAATGTGGAGTCAGGTTTTTTGCCCAAGGCGTGTGTTTGGAAATCAGCATGCAGATAGGCTGGCTGGAAAGGCCCCATTTAGGGGTGTACTGCAACTGCACAAGGCAGAGGTGATCTCAAACCTGTGGGACAGGATGTACAGGTAAAATGGAAGATACTGAAAATCAATACCTGGGGAGAATGATACAGCAGGAGTGGCTGTCAGCTCTGGGACCCACTCGAGACTCATCACTGTCTGCTGAGGGAGATGGAGCTAATATGGACTTGACCTGAATGTTGTGATGTCAAATCTTTACCCAGAAGAACCAGCAGCATTCTAGGGTGATGTGGTCAACTTCTCCGAAATATCATATTCAATCAAATACTAAATTCAGTATATTTGCCAACACTGTGTTACCAGGCCAAATGTGGACATTAACAACAAAAGGAAACAGAAAAATCTAAAACAGAATTAAAATGTCTATGATGAATCCTGAATGTGACTAGAAGAGGAAAGATCAGAAATGACGATATCAGGAAAGAAGTTGGGACAGGACCAGTACTAAATGACATCAAGAGACAACAGATCAAACAGTTCAAGCATGTGTCAAGACTACCATTAGATAGAGAGCCCTGTCATTCATACAGAATGGAAGCATTGCAGGAGGTCGACCATGCAAGCGATGGATAGATGAAATATACCAGGACATAGCACATACAAGGGCTGGCACCTATTGTCTCTTCAAAATCTGACGCTGAAAGGCAATACCGGACCAGGGAAGAAGAAGAGTGCTTTTCCTCAGGGCACAGAAAGGCAGCCACACAAGAAGTGTTGGGGATCCAAGAGCTGCGTAGAAGCATGGTCACCCAGACCAGCAGCAAGGATTATGATGATGAATAACACAAACGTATGACACTCTACTTACTCAATATCAGCCATCTTCTCCAGTAGCTGCATTCTGACGTGTAGGGGAAGGTCAACTGTAAGCAGACATAATGCAACATAAAAAGACACATCAGACATGTAATAGAAGGTCAATTGTAAGAAGACATGATAACAGACATTTCACACATGGGTAAAAGGGAGATTTACTTTTTGAAGTAAGGTATGTGCTTTCGGCTTCACTAAGACTTTAGTTTTTGTGTTTTTATTTTTAATAGGGACAGGGGTGGACATTCTGTATGGTTTCTATTAGCATGGGAGGGGAGCAACTACAGTGTGACCCGTTTGCTATGAAGCTGGAACTGCATTACCCTGATTTCAATGTCTTGTGCGATATCTTGGCTCCCTACACACCTTGTACTGGGCCTGTCTGACAGGCACACTTGCCAAATGGTCTAGGGTTAACTCAGTAATGTCAGGACTCACAGGTAACAGCTCCTGCCCCCCCCCCCTCCACCCCCACGCAACAGATGACTGAACACCTGTCTGCTGCCAGAGACTGTACACTGTATTCAGACACTGACATCCATCAAATGGTTTGCATCACGAAAAAAAACAGTTAACATAAAACTAGAGTCACTCTTCCTTCTGCTGCATTTATACATTTAAGATGCTGCTCTGAAGAACTCCTCCTACCACAGCTATGTTCTGTGGCTCTTATGAGCTTTCAGTACCCAATCATGCAGATCCACCTTCCTGAATAATGTGACTGTCACTCTGACAACTCTACAGACCTCAGAGATGGTGTCTTTAGAGGACATTCAGGTCGATGCACAATAACTTGTGAAGAACAATCCAGACTTCCTGTCTGCGGCCTGTCACGTTACCTAAAGATATCACTAATACCTCACATCACGAAAACAATCAGGATGGAACCTTATTACTGTTGCAACTCCTGCATTATGAACACTCGATGTGACACATAGATGCACAAGTCTAGCCTGGCAACACCCAGACTAGAACCTCTACTCAAGCATGTCAACACAGCTTCCTGATAACGCCCTACAGTGGCGCACTTAAGAACAGCATCGGTTCTCAGTGGCTCTTGACTGTGCGTCCTTCCTCTCCAATGACATGGCCTGTACTGCCTCTAACATCAACAGACAGTTCACCATCTACATGTGAGTTCTCTCATGCCTAGCATGAAGACTATGGTTCGCAGTCATGGTTTTCTCTCGTTGCACGGCTGTACAGGTACTTGACCCTGTTGTGATCCCAGGAAGTGGGTCTGCGGTCCGATTTACATATTACCCCCTTACGTTTAAATCTGAAATCAAAGGGACATAAATGTGGCAGCTATACTCCCAAGGGACATAGCCCTTTATAAATGCATATATTGCTCACAACAATCAACACACAGATCAGACATGTAACTGAAGGTTGATTGCAATCTTCTTCCACAAACACACAAATTTAAAAAAAAAAAAGAAGCAGACAGCAACAAGAGAAACTCATGATCAAGATATGCACAACCTAAATTATACATCACTCAAGACAAGCCCATAAACACTCCATTTTTCAACAGTCATCTGACATCTAATCTTGATATCACTGGACATCCCATTATGGGATGCAACTGTTTGTTATTTTGAAGCCCCACCCTGGCTCTTGCCAGGGGCCGAAATAAAGCCTGGCCATAGATATGGTCTAATGGCTGAAAGCGGTTTCCGGGACCTCTCCACGGTAATCCTCATCCACATGGTGGCACTTTGTGTTACCCGGTGTTTATCACTTGTGTGATGTCCTAGTGGGGTAAAATGTACTACTACTACTACTACTACTATGCATAATCTATATACTCTAGTCATCCCCTCGTGGGATGCAACATTCAATATGTGAAGCCCGGCCGTGGCTTTTGGTGGGGGTCCCTGAATATAGCTGGGCCACAATTGTGGCCATAATGGCTGAAAGGGGTCTCTGGGCCCTCTCCACGGGTGATCCTCATCTGCATGGTGACACTTTGTGTCATCGGGTGTTTATCGCTTGGTGGATGTCCTGGTGGGGGTTAAATCTGACTCACTCACTCAGAGTTATCAATCACCTGAAAGCTGAAGTCTCTAACAGAATTTTTGGAGAACAAAGTGATGACTAAATCTGCAAAGCTGATCAAACAGCAAGTTAAAAGGGTTGCGGTCAGTCAAGAACATAATGCAGGAAGCCAAAGAGAAATAATCAGTCAAAAAGAATTGGTGTCATGAGCTGCTGCATGCTGTGGGATTAACACAGGGGATCCAAGCCTTTAAGATCCAATGTGCAATGAGAGTGACGTGTCGACAAACTAACAGATCAGTCACCTGCAAGGCGACAATTACTTACTTCTGTGGACGTAAGTGTGTAGCTCCGTCACAATGTCTGCCAGGGCCAAACCTTTTTGGTTCTTGAGCTGCAAAGTGTCTGGTTTGAAGTCAAAAGAATCTAACTTTCACACTAATATCATTAACTACCAATCTTGTTTATACCCGCCCTGAGCTATGTTCAGCATTTGGTGCCAGATCAATGTACGTAGAGACCAGTGTCCTTTGACCCGTGGGTTGTGGGAAAAGTCCCCCACGGCCGTCAAAATATTCTACTCAACCATGTGACCAGACAGAGTGGGTGGTTTTCCAATCTGTAGGATTAACGCCTCAGGAACTTCTTATTTTGCTTGAAGATTTTTTCTCGGTATGTTAGTATTTAAAAATCAAACTGAGAAATCAAACGGATGTTATTGCAGCCCTTTGCATATAAGAAACAACGCTCTAGCCACATGTTTAAGATTTTGTAACCTCTCAGCAGCAGCAGCAGCAGATGTTGTATTAGCAAGAAACTGTAAATTATTTGTTTTCAACATCGGATTTATTAAATAAAATGGTGCCTACATTTGTTTGTTTGTTTGGTTAGCTGTCAGTGTGGCCACCAAACAATGCCCACTGTTTCGGTGGGCTGCAGGTGTAAACAGGATGAGGAACCCTGGTACAGACTTACTGCCACCCCATAACTGATGTGGTCGACATTAGGCCAGCCACGTTTACTTCTCAGGGCTGTTCCTGATACCCATTTTTAGCTGGGCTGTTATAATTTTAAAAATACTTGCTCATGCAGATCTGAACTCTGACAGTCAGGCTGATAGTATAACCTCTAGCTACTGGCTACAGGGGTTGTCTGTATTACACAGACACATGAACATCTTCTTCATTTCCTGTTTTACCAATTTGCGTGTCAAGGGAAATATAATTCCTTTTAATCTCGCCAGGTACATTACTACAGAGTTAAATCTGAATGTTTAATGAAGCATAACAATTAACCGTCTTCACTGAAATGCCTAAATTACACTGTTGAGTTACTGTACATCTCCCCATAAGAAACTTGTGAATACTGTGGCAACTTTAAATTTATCATGTGATCTTTCTGTTTACATAAAAATAGGAGAGTGAGTTCAGTTTTGCAATTGGAAAACATTATTTTGAATATAAGGTTCTGCTTGTAAACCACATAGACACAAAAGGATACTGTTGTAGGCAACAGAAAAGACATTATTCAGAATCCAGGTAATGATACTTTCAATGTCCTTTCTCAGTGGGTGTCCAACACAGGTGTAGACGTTGTCCTCGGTCACCTCGTCACATGCCATGGACACACTCTGGAGGATGTTTAGGGCCCTGCGCATGTCTCCATTTGCAAGCGTCACTAGCGACTTCATGCCACATTCAGAAACCTTTACACTGCAAAAGATGTCGATAAATGTAATGTGAAGTGAGATTATGTAATGTGAGCATAGCAAACTAATGTAATATAAAATGCAGTAAATTAAAACATTGCAAAGATACATAATTTAATGCTGGAAAGGCTAACCCGCTTAACAAATGCCCGCAGAAGTCGGATATATCACAGCTTAGCAGTAAACAGGCACAACGCATTTACATCTTTGCAGAAGAAAAAAGATATAATTTAATTTCAAGTGAAGTAACATAATGTGAGATGGGCATGCCACATTCACAAACCTTCAAATTGCAACAGACATCAACAAATGTAATGTGACGTGAGGTGAGGTCTTGTTATGTGAAATAAAGCAACATAATATTACTTTATGCAAACTAACGTAACGTGACGTAATTTAACGTAAAGTGAGGTCAATGCAATGTGAAGCAAAATAATGCGACATGAAGTGAAGTAATGCCATGTGAAGCAAACTGTAGCAATGTGACAACTGATGTGAAATAAATATAATGTGGAGTAATGTGAAGCAAAGAATTGTAACGTGAAGCAAATTAATCTATTGTATACTGAAGCAAGCCAATGAAATGTCAAGTAAACTTTTGCAATGTAAAGTAACGTAATGTGAATCAATGTCATTTGAAGCAAACACATGTAATATAAAAACAATGTAATGTCAAGCAATACAGTATGATATGAAGGAAGCAAACTAATGTTATGTGAAGTAAGGTAAACTAACATAACATGACATTTCTCCAAATGACCTTTACTTTCCCCCCAAAAAAATGTGTCCTCAACCTTCCGAATGCCGCAACCCTTTAATACAGTTTCTCCTATTGTGATGACTCCCAACCATAAAATTATTTTTCCCAGCTACCTCATAACTTAGTGAATATGTGTTTTTCGATGACCTTATGCAACCCCTGGGAAAAGGGTCGTTCGACCCCCAAATAGGCTGTGGCCCACAGATTGAGAACCACTGCAATAAAGCATAGCTCCTTAACTAGCTGTGATTTCTTCCTGCTACATCCAAACTGTCAAGATCCAAAGACTCAACTGCACTGTTTACGTATTTAGGGGGGGGGGGGGGGGGGGGGGGGAAGAGCTTTGACAGTATCCATGAAACTGCAGTCATTTCACTACACTTTGCACAGGAGTTCACTAGGGAGTTTAATAGCCTTATCCTAGGAAGAGGAAATGCAACTTGAAAACAAAATATTACGACAACCCTCCAAGCCATGACAAAAGGTGTTAACAGCCTTCTCACAGTGTCTTCCTCTGTCTTTTTTTTTTCTTTTTTAACTGATCCTTCCAGTGATCACATATTCCAATTTCCTTCTTCACATAACATGACCTCTTTCTGATGTTTGTTATAAGCTGTCTTTGAGCTCTTGATTTTTCAAAACATATGGACTGCTCTCTTTGACTGTCCAATGAATTCTATCTAAGGAATCTTCTGTAAAACAACATCTCCAAGATCTCAAGAAACTGTATGGCTTGTTTTTAAATTGTCCAGGATTGACAGCCAAATGTTAAAACTGGTTCTATATAACATGTAAATATTCTATCTCTAACTTCTAATGAGAAGAACTTATAGCACAAAATGCACTTGAGGTCTCTTTAAATCAGAAAATAACTTTATCATCTGGAAACGACGAAAGGCTGCCATTCAGCCTAAACCCAATTCAATCCAACAGATACAGGTAGGAGCACTTTTAAGGCTCAAAGACCTTAGATGCTAAAATCTCACAACTGACAGCTAAGATTGACTTTCTGAGAATTCATCAACCCAGCAACATTACCTCTCTCACAGAAACAGAAATCTAAATAACTGTCACAAGAAGGGACAGGGTCATGAGACATAAACATATGAGAGAGGGTAGGAAAAAGACTGAATTACACTGAAAGACAGAGAGAATGAATTAGTTTAGCCATCTAGTAAGAACGCAGCCAGATCAAACTGTAGATGAGACTTTCTACATCAGAACATCTGGAAAAACTGGCTGGAAGGTGAGAGAGAGAAAGACAAAGAAAGATATGGATAGATGGCATAGCTGAAACTTGCAAAAAGATGAATAAACAAGTCACTCTAGAAGCACAAGACAGAAAAACATGACATTGGGCTACAACCTGGTGATAGTGTGACCACACAAAAAAAAAGACACAATCATCAAAACCTGATAGCAATATAACTAGAATGTCTTTGCCCTGGAACCCACAACGTCAAGGAATACGGGCAGACCAAAAAACACATGGAGCAGAGAACTAGAAAACAAAGTTTAAAAAAAAATGAGGACATGGGGTGAGCTGAATGCAACAGCAAAAGATAGGGCGATCTGGTGTGAGTGGGCTGGGCACTTATGCTCGATAGGGAGATGAAGTGCAGAAGGAGGAGCAGAGGGAGGAGAAGAAGAAGAAAGAGGAGAAGGAAGAACAGGAGGAAGGAAAAGAACAGGAAGATAAGGAGGAAGAAGAAACAAAAGCTGATGGCAAACCTTTCTTGAGCAATGACATATTCCAACCGAGGCACCATCTGCTCCTGCTTCAAAGGTCCAAACCTAAACCTTGTGCAGCGAGACTGTAGGGCTGGGATGATCTTTGACAGGTAGTTGCAGATGATACAGAATCTAGTGTTTTCTGTAAATTTTTCTATCACTGCAAATAAAAACAGTTTATATTTAGTAAGAGAAATTTGTTTCCTACAACACATTCCTCTTCTTCTTCTGGGTTTGACATCAGACATCAGTTTGTATGCTGACAACCCTGCAAGCCATGACAAAAGACGTCAAGAGTCTTCTTGCAGTGTCTTCCTCCATCTCTTTTTTTTGTGACCGATCTTTCCAGTGATCACATGTTCCAGTTTCCTTGTTCACAAAACATGATCTCTTTCTAATGTTTGTGATAATCTGCCTTTAAGCTCTAGTCTTTTTCAAAACATCTGGACTGCTCTCTTTGACTGTCCAATGAATTATAAGGATTCTTCTGTAAAACAACATCTATGAGGTCTCAAGAAACTGTGTCATCAAAAGACTCTGTGTTACTGTGTAACCAAATTATGTCTGTCTAAAAAATGTTTATTGTGTCACCAATTTATATCTGTCTAAAAAATGTTTACTGTGTCACCAATTTATATCTGTCTAAAAAATGTTTACTGTGTCACCAATTTATGTCTGTCTAAAAAATAATTACGGTATCACCAAATTATGACTGTCTTCTTCTGTGTTCACAGGTATGCTTCTGTGAAAGGTCCTATTTTTTTTTAATCCATTTGGACTTTGGCTTTGTGCCAGAGCCTGAGTTTTGCGTGTACATCGGTTTTACTGGCTTATTTGTGTGTGGCTTTTCCATGCCACTCGGACAGATGTACCTCAACTTCGAAGGAAATATGTCTGTCTGAAAAATGTGCCACCAATATGAAAAGTAAGGAACACTCAGGACTAGACTATGCAAAGGCATAATGCTACCCACCTCAACAATAGTTTCTATCACAGGATTATGAAGATTTAAGTATTATGTTACATTTAGTCAAGAATTGACATTAAAGCACTTGGGACATTCTTAAAACACGAGAGATATTCAAATAGTGGCCTCCGGGCGAAACCTGCTTGTGGAGGACTAATTATCTTTCCTTCCTGGGGCTCAGACCTCTGGCGATCTCCATTTATAAACTTGTGGCTTCTGGGTAAACTGAGTTGAATAGTCCTGCTATAACGTTCCGCCTACAACTTCAGAGCCAGCAAAGAGTTTCCATTCCGATGGTACCAGGAGCAGCATGGTTGTACTTTAAGTCTTGTGTGAACATCTAACATGCACTATGGTCATAACTGTGGTAGAGGTAACGATAATGGCAATGATTACTATAGTGATGATGACAACATACAGGGTCTTCTACACCTAAGACTGAGTTCCGTTCCCACTAACAGGTCATAAGTCAAACTTCTCTGTGTGGGTTCTGGAGCCCAATTATAAGGGAAACAAGAACAGACCAACCTCCTGACCAAAAACATGTCAAAAGAGTCGACTATCTGGGAGCTTTCTTTGAAGTCGGAGTGCATCTGCCTGAGAGGCAAGGAACCAACAGTCTGCATACAAATAAGTCAGATCTAAAAGATGGATGCGCAGGCAACACTCAGTTTCTGGAGCGAGACTGCAGTCCAGAGGTTGACAATCACCTGGAAATTTTCGCCGGAGTCTACTGCTACTGAACATGAAGAAAACGAAGTCGAACTGGTAGTAAATCGAATTTATATTTTTTAAACACTATTTTCATTCACACCTCGTAAAAAAAATTTCCCACATAAAACACAAAAATACTTGGTAGGCTCAGAGAGACTGATCTCTAGACCCTGCTACCCTCTAGGCATCAGTTCTGGGAACTTGTAGACCCAGCTGTAAACTCTGGCGGAAGGTTCTGGTTGCTCGTCAACTACTGAACTGCAGTCCTGCTCCAGCACCTGAGTGTTGTGTGTGCATCAGTTTTACAGATCTCATTCTCTTGAATACAGACTGTTGGTTCCTTGCCTCTCCGGCAGATGCACTCTGACTTCAAAGGAAGCTCCCCAATTAGTCGACTCTTACGACATGCTTTTGGGGAGGCAGTGGGTCTATTCTTGTTTTCCCCACAACGGGGCCCCAGAATCCACACAGGGGTTTACTATTCTAATTGTTTACATCTTTTCATTTTGTTGAGTGTGGTCATAAGTGTGGATGGCCGTAAGTTGCACAGGTTGTAAGTTGAGCATAAGGTGTAATCATGAGATCAAATAATTCAAGAAAGCAACAAGATCTGACAGACAAACCTCTTCGCAGAGCATTCTGAGCATCTTTGGTCATAGCATCTGCTTCGTCTAAAATCACCAACTTGAAACCTTTTCTGATTGTGAGAGAACGTTTACAGAATTTCAGTAAACAACAAAATAAGAAAAATAAAAACTGAAAAAAAAATTCTACTTATTCTCAGAGTATACTAGATCAGGAAGAATGCAAATACTGACATTTTTTTTTAAACAATCTAAATACTGAGAGAGACTAGCTTATTTACCCACTAGCGACCAAGCCCGTTAACCCTTGCACTTTCCCAGATACCATTTATTGTTCTGCTAAAAATAAATTCACAATATTTAACAAAAACTCATTTTTTATTTTTGCACAAAACTGAATGGAGATCAAATTTCAAGATTAAAAAACTGTAATCTTGTTTGACACCATCATCATGTGGCTGTAGATATGTGTGTGTCTGTCTCTCAAAAATAAAATCATAGCCTGCAGGCCATGGCAACTGTCCTAGCCGTGCCCATACAGCAAAAGTGATCAATAATGGCAGTATCCTTCAATGTGGCATGAGTCATTTTCCCCAAGCCTTCCTTTGTTGTGCCATCGGGCTCTTGCAGCTAACCAACCTTATGTCAGGGAGTTCACCTGTATCTCTAATTCTCTTGACCTCTGGGAGGTAGGGGGGGCCTTGTGAGTTTCAATACAAGGATACTCTTCTTTTTTACGTCCTCTTTTACTGCTTGGGTGTCGAGGTATATTTAAGGTCCTGCTTTGTGCTCTTCTGGCTGCTTCGACCACAGTCACATTGTGGTGCTGTGAATTTCTCTAATGCTATCTTTCCATGCTTTTCTGGGTCCACCTCTTATACTACATCCCTCTCCTCTTTTGGTATATGTCTTGTATGGTATAGCATCCGAAGGCATTCTCTCTAAGTGGGCAAACCATTAGTACAAAGACACTCAAGTTACACTATTGTTCTCAGTCTACGACCTATTCACTGTCAGCATCTTTTCCTCATCTCTTGATTTATCAGAATGAATTTAGTTCTCTCCCAGAGATTCACATGAATTCTTCTTCTGTCTTTTATCTCCCAATGCAGCATCAGCCATCCACCAACTCAGGCCAAGCCTGTTGTTGACTGACTAGAAACATCAATACACTCTTCTTCTGCCTCCCTTCAGCCTTATATTTCTCAAAGACACTACAGGAGTCTCCATGGCCAAGCCTGTTGTTGACTGACTAGAAACATCAATGCATTCTTCTTCTGCCTCCCCTCAGCCTTATATTTCTCAAAGACACTACAGGAGTCTCCATGGCCAAGCCTGTTGTTGACTGACTAGAAACATCAATGCATTCTTCTTCTGCCTCCCCTCAGCCTTATATTTCTCAAAGACACTACAGGAGTCTCCATGGCCAAGCCTGTTGTTGACTAACTAGAAACATCAATGCATTCTTCTTCTGCCTCCCCTCAGCCTTATATTTCTCAAAGACACTACAGGAGTCTCCATGGCCAAGCCTGTTGTTGACTAACTAGAAACATCAATGCATTCTTCTTCTGCCTCCCCTCAGCCTTATATTTCTCAAAGACACTACAGGAGTCTCCATGGCCAAGCCTGTTGTTGACTAACTAGAAACATCAATGCATTCTTCTTCTGCCTCCCCTCAGCCTTATATTTCTCAAAGACACTACAGGAGTCTCCATGGCCAAGCCTGTTGTTGACTAACTAGAAACATCAATGCATTCTTCTTCTGCCTCCCCTCAGCCTTATATTTCTCAAAGACACTACAGGAGTCTCCATGGCCAAGCCTGTTGTTGACTAACTAGAAACATCAATGCATTCTTCTTCTGCCTCCCCTCAGCCTTATATTTCTCAAAGACACTACAGGAGTCTCCATGGCCAAGCCTGTTGTTGACTAACTAGAAACATCAATGCATTCTTCTTCTGCCTCCCTTCAGCCTTATATTTCTCAAAGACACTACAGGAGTCTCCATGGCCAAGCCATTTGCCTCGTGCTCTGAAAGCCATTGGAATCATTTCATGGCTACGTAGTTCACTGCATGTGTGTCTTTTTTTTTAAATGGAGATCACTGGGATTTGCCACAGGAGCTACAGAGTTTGTGCTTAGTGTGGAGGCTCTCATCAGGGGCTAGTCGGTCTGTGGAAAGACTGAAGTCCGCAATTTATATGTGATTGAGGCCCTGTCAGGGTGTGTTTTTAGCCGCCATAATATGTGGATGTTATTCGGAGGATAGCCAAAATCTGTAATACTTGCAGAGGATTAAGAAAAGGTGCTGTGCTTGTCTCTGTGGAAAGATACCGAGCCATACTGGATAAACATATTAAAAAACAAGTACAGCTTGGTAACAATCAACCAATCACAATGTACAAACAAGCTAACAATAAAATACATACTTAAAGATGGTTCTTGTGCTGGCAAAGCTCAATATCTGTCCCCGGACTATGCCAATACCTCTGTCATCAGAGGCGTTCAGCTAAAAGGATAAAATGAACTTATTATTATTGAATGAAGACCTGGCCACATTCCTATGGTCTTTTTCTTTCCCTTGTCTTTCTCTAGTTATCTCGCTGAAGTGTGGGCTGAGGTACATACATTTTACAAATCTGACTTCTTTGTATGCAGACTGTTGGTTCCTTCACTCTCAGGCAGATGCACACCAACTATGGAGGAAAGATCCCTAATCAGTCAACTCTTACGAGAAGCCTGTTGGGGACAGTGTGTCCATTCTTGTGTCCCCCCTACAATGAGGGCCCCAGAATCAGAAACCCACTAGGGGACTTTGAAGGATATTTATCCTATTAACAGGTAAGTCTACGAGTGTTTTGCTGCCACCTCTCTGTCGCTCCAGACCAAAGTGTTCTTCTGCTTTTTCATCGTTCATCCGAGGGATGTAAATCCATTGTGCCTGTTTACAGGATAGCTGATGATATTTGCATTTTTCGGCCAACACCTCCGACTTCACCAGCTTTGACTTTATTAGCTCCGACTTCATCAGCTCTGACTTATCAGCTTCGACTTTATTAGCTCCGACTACATCAGCTCCGCTAGCAGTTTTCACTCATGTTTCAAATGAGTTGCAGGTGCAACTACTGATCTGTTGTGCTACCACTGATGATGAACTGCAATTCTAGTGCTAGGCTGTCTGTCTTGGCACTTCTGACGGCTGCCTTATCCATTTAGTGTGTAAGTATGCTACTGGCTTTACTGAGACTGCGATCTGTGTCCATTTGTTCATAAGGGACGGTGAAAGATATTCTGCGTGGTTTCTGCTGGCACAGGAAACGGAGCAAAAATGGGTGGGCCTATCTGCTATAAAGTTGGAATTGCGATACCTGACACAATAAGCCAGCTGTGCATGCAACACACCAGTCCTAGAACAACCATGGACTTTCTGTTAAGAGTTTACAGCCTGACAATGCAAAGAAGTGGAGGAGGGGAAACAGAAAAGATTTCTGCTTCTGCTGTTTCAATTCCGTCAGCTACCAACCTCCAATACAATGGAGTTGAATTCTTTCAAAGAGTGCATCTGATTGTAATTGCCTGGCAAGTAACTAACAGTCTGCATTCAATAAGCCAGATATTTACAACAGATAAGTGTGCAACTGGAACAAGTACAAAATCTAGAAGCAAACAAACAACAAGGACTTTCTGCCACAGAAGAGGAAGAGCAAATGTGACAAAGAGGAAGAAGAGAGACAAGAAAAAAATCTCTGCTTCTGCATTCCTTCAGCTACCAACCTCCAACACCATGGAGTTGAACTCCTTCAGCTACTAACCTCCAACACCATGGAGTTGAACTCCTTCAGCTACTAACCTACAACACCATGGAGTTGAACTCCTTCAGCTACTAACCTCCAACACCATGGAGTTGAACTCCTTCAGCTACTAACCTCCAACACCATGGAGTTGAACTCCTTCAGCTACTAACCTCCAACACCATGGAGTTGAACTCCTTCAGCTACTAACCTCAACACCATGGAGTTGAACTCCTTCAGCTACCAACCTCCAACACCAGGGAGTTGAACTCCTTCAACTATTAACCTCCAACACCATTGAGTTGAACTCCTTCAGCTACTAACCTCTAACACAATGGAGTTCAATGCCTCCAGCTACTAACCTCTAACACCATGGAGTTGAACTCCTTCAGCTACAAACCTCTAACACCATGGAGTTGAACTCCTTCAGCTACTAACCTCAAACACCAGGGAGTTGAACTCCTTCAGCTACTAACCTCCAACACCATTGAGTTGAACTCCTTCAGCTACTAACCTCTAACACCATGGAGTTGAACTCCTTCAGCTACTAACCTCCAACACCATGGAGTTGAACTCCTTCAGCTACTAACCTCTAACACCATGGAGTTGAACTCCTTCGGCGAGTACATCTGCTTGGCTACAGCCAGAATTGTGCTGGTCTTTCCTGTACCAGGTGGTCCATAGAACAAAAGATGTGGCAGCCTGTCTTCTGTTACAAACTTCTGAACTGCAGAAAACATCAAGAACACATTACCAAACAATCGAATGCCTGTATTTAGAACGTGTTTCTGTTGGGTCGGCTGACCATGTAAGGCGGCATGGCTACAGCAGTTTCCACAAACTGTGCAGGTTGGGATTGTTATTTTTGTCCCCCAAAGAAAAAAAAGCCATCCATTACTAAGGATTGAACTCAGGCCACGAGCGGGAGAAACCAGTACTTTAACAACCTGGCCAGTCCCTCATCCTCACTAACCAAATATCGGGTATAGGAATCTGTTACAGAGCCTGAGATGTATTAAAGCTGGAGTGTTGTTATACTGACCAGGCAGCAAAGGGTAGGAATGAATATGCTTTGAATGAGATCTTTCTTTGGTAAAATGGATATAGATCGTAATTAGATTTTTGATATCCGTTCTTGATGAGTTTTTAACATAAAGAGACTTGAAAGAAAATGACAATATGAGCTACATGAAGTAAAGGCCAGTTTCAGATATGGAACGAGGGATCACATCTTTAATAAATGAATAATTTTTGAAAAATGTAGTGAATACAATGAAGATCTCATGTTTGTTTTAATGATTATAGCAAGGCCTTCAATTTTGTCCAATAGTGCACTGGTAATCTTTATCTCCTACGAAATGTCTTGGTACAACAACCAACAAAACTTGGTAATTAAAATGCAAAAATAAAAAAATTACAATAAGACACAGAAATTCAAGTTGGCTGCATATTCTTTACAAAATTTCCCAAACCAACCTCAGCATTTGTTGGTTGTTGGTGGTTTTACAAGGCAAGTTTATGTTCATCAGTTTGCACCTGCTTTCTCAATGGTATCATGCCCATATGGATGTCAATAAAAATGAAAGCAGACTTCTAGTACACTGCATGTGCTGACCTCAGACCCTAGTATGTAAATACTGTGAAACTGTTCACAACTCCTAAACCACTTTTGCCAACTAGAAACAAAATAAAAACTAAATAGTAGACTCTCTAAAATAAAAGGTCAACACATATCAGCCAAAGATTAATCAAGAAAAAGCAAACAGAAACAGATCTAAAAAACAGAATTTTCCCTAGCTTGCAGGCAATGTCTGGCCTACAAAGGCATAGCAAGAGGCATGCAAATCCTTGCTAGTTGTGTTATATTATTATTTCTGTGCTGTGGCTTGGGCATCTGGCCTGTGACGATCACCATGTTCACAATTTTAGCCCCTGAGCAAATTTGGCTGAATACAGCTGGTTTACAGCATTAACTTTTTCAGTACCACAGACCAGACAATATGTTCATTAGCCTTTATATGGCACATCATTTTCCTCTTTTTACTTTTCTGTCCCATTCTTCTGTTAAATTATTCCACTAGACATAAACTGTTAATATCATGGATTTTTTTCCAGACAAAAAGGTGTCCTACTAACCATGAAATGTCTAAAAGAAGGTGCATAACTCCCATGAAGTGTCTAAAAAATGTATAACACCATAAAAAAAGTAAAAAAAGATGCATTACTGACAACAAAATGTCTTTAAAAAGGTGCATAACTCACCACAAAGTGTCTAAAAAAAGGTGCATAATCTCACAAAGTATCTAAAAAGGTGCGTAACTCCAACAAGGTGCCAAAAAAAGGTGCATAACTCCACAAAGTGTCGAAAAAAAGGTGCATAACTTATATAAAGTGTCTGAAAAGGGTGCATAACTCACCACAAAGTGTCTAAAAAAAAGGTGCATAATCTCACAAAGTATCTAAAAAGGTGCGTAACTCCAACAAGGTGCCTAAAAAAGGTGCATAACTCCACAAAGTGTCGAAAAAAAGGTGCATAACTTATATAAAGTGTCTGAAAAGGGTGCATAACTCCCATAAAGTGCCTAAAATGCAATTGTTGTTGTTAGTCCATCACGAGGGATGAAGACCACTTTTGATTGTTTATATTGTTTATTCTTTACTTACGTCCTTTTCAGGACGTATTTTTTATTATTTGAAGCCCCACTCTGGCTTTTGCCAGGGGCCGCAATATGGACAGGCCATCAATATGGCCAATTGTCTGAATGCGGTTTCTGGGACCTCTCCACGGTGATCCTCATCCGCATGGTGGCACTTTGTGTCATCGGGTGTTTATCGCTTGTGTGATGTCCTAGTGGGGTAGAAAGTCAGTCAGTCAGGTGTCTGATTAGTCCAATATGAGCCTGGAAAGTTCCTGAGCAGTGAGGATATAATCCAAGTCGTTCCCTTGTGGGATGCAACTTTTCGTTGTTTGAAGCCCCACCCTGGTTTTTGCCGGGGGGGGGGGGGGGGGGGCTGAATATAGCTTGCCACAATTGTGGCCATAATGGCTGAAAGGGGTTTCTAGGACCTCTCCACGGGTGATCCTCATCTGCATGGTGGCACTTTATGTCACTGGGTGTTTATCGCTTATGTAATGTCCTGGTGGGGTACAACAAGCAAGCCGTGAGGACAACAGGTGGAAGCATGCAATTAATCACACAAGGCAGCACCAGTTCTGTGGCAGTCAGTAGGCCATTATGTGAATCTGCACTTGGCAAAACAAACTACACTAGGCACAGTCAAATAGCAAACTTTATGCTACCTGATGCTGAAGACCCTCTGGTCTACCAGCAAACATAAAAATCCAACGGTAAAATTCAACCTATCCTGAATGTCAGTGGAAATCACACAAAATGCTGAAGGTGGAGACAGAAGAAGGCTGGTAACTGAGAATATAATGACGGAGGAGCTATTCAAAGTTTCAACTACAACCTCTAAAAAACTAAAAATAGATAGGGGGTGGGGGAGGAAGAGACAGAGATATAAATATAGATACACAGTGAACAAGAGAGAGAGAGAGAGAGAGAGAGAGAGAGAGAGAGAGAGAGAGAGAGAGAGAGAGAGAGAGAGAGAGAGAGAGAGAGAGAAAGAGAGAGAGAAAGAGAGAGTGAGTGAGATTAGTGAGCCAGTCTTACTTGTTGAGATTATGTCCTTGTGTGAAATCAAATCATCCAACTGTTTTGGTCGATACTTCTCCACCCTAAAAAAAAAAAAAATGTGTTTAAAAATGGGGAAAAGAACAAACTTCTTGCTAGAAACAATCTTGTTCTACAATTTAACAAGCTGTTAGTATTCAGTATTCTTTTAACCACTCATCAATGACAAAGAAGACTGAAAAATTGCGTAATGCTTGTAATACTTATATCTTATGACAGTAAAAATGAAACTTTGCTGGTCATTTACTTTCTCAGCAGAATATCTACAACTTCTAAAAGAGACGACCAAGTGAAACTGAAATTAACAACCACATCTACTTGTGCCTCTGCACTGCTCACTCACCCCCAAAAAAAACCTAAAAAAATCCAGCTTATCAAGCATCAATTTACCAACTGGTGTAGAACAAGCCAGTCTGTCTGCCTGTTTATTTTCCAACAATATACTGGAGAAAAATTTCACAGGTTGTTACACTACCCAGGACCTCTGCCTGCTACTCCGCATGGAGCATACCTGTCATTTCAACCTTTCTCAAGATGTTATGAGACAAGATTGTACTTGCAGCACTTTGAGCCTCTCTATAATAGCTGAGATCGAGACAGAATGTAAACTAGTGTAACCTTCCATAGAAGATTATTTCAACTTTCTAGAGAGAACAATAGATGATTGACAGATTTAAAATAGCACGTACGATTTCGAGAAGATACTGTGCTTGTTATTTGTATATTAAAACTAACGGTTTCACTTGCGGGGAAAAAAAAAGAGACAATGAGATTAATCTGTAGACACTTACACAGAAGAGTAGGAAGAGGCGTTGTGCATGCAATTTGTATCTTTGATCAGGGTTTCAAATTAGTGGAAGTAGAAACTGAAGAAAATCTGTAATTTACTGATAAACACTTATTGCAGAGGATTGAGAAAAGGTGCTGTGCTTGTATCATTGTATCTTCAACTTTACTCATAATTAGATTTTCAACAGTGAAGAACAAGATGAGAGAATCTACACAAATTGTAAACACTTTACTACAGTACTAGTACTACAGTTTGATGGAAAGATTGGCCGACAAAGGGGCCGTGCAGTTGCTTGTATTTAGCAACTACGGTGTCCGGAAATTTGCGATCTTTTGGCAATTTCCGTTAGCACGGAAACCGTTCGAAACTTGCTTCGGAAATGTCGGCTGGGGTTTCGGGATGGGTCCTAATCTCTCATGAAATTTTGCGATTGGTTTGATTTTCACCCACTCTAAATAGCTGAAAACGGCGGGAAGGAACCCGATTAACAGCGCATGTCTACAACAGCCGGATGTCCTCTGTTTTTCTGTTACATCAGTTTGATTGAAAATAGCGATAAGTATTCAGGGTTGGCTTTAGGCTTTACCTGTTACTAGACATGGTAATGCTAGTTATAATTGAATTCTCCATCCAATTTTACATTTGTATATAAAATTTCTTTCTTGTCAGTGGCTAGGTAGATGTACAGTGACATTTTTCAGGCAATCGCTGGCTCAGCCAGTGGCTGAGTCTCATTGCCTGCCATCTTGTCCAATGACAGTCCAATGTCAACAAAGCCAAAACGATAAGTGCGCAGTTTGGTTGTTTCTGGGTCACAAGTTTTACGTTTTTGTGGAGATGAGATGTAGAAAGCAGCTGCTAAAACTTTTAGCAGCTGCTTTCTACATCTCATCTCCACAAAAACCAACATATCTCAGCTCAGAAATGACACACAAGCCTAAATGAGGTACCGTTGGAAAGAGATTGTTTACAGCTATCTAACTGTGCTGGTTTTATTGGTGTAGAGGGCATTTTTAAAAAAATGACTAAAGTAACTAACAAAGGCGCCGTGCAGTTGCTTTTATTGAACAGACTTCTGCAACAGGAAGAAACGACTGGCGCCGAAAAAAATATGTAAACATTTATTTGCAATGGAAGACTGGGAGAAGTTGTAATTGTATCTTTACTCATAGTTTCTTTTAACTTGGAACAGTACACAAGTACAAGAGAGGAAAGACGATCATCGTCACGATGAAGAGAATTGTTGTTAACATTAGTAGTATTATTATTAATATTAGTATTAGTAATTACTTTTTACTTAGGCTAGTCAGTGAGAAGAGAAATGAGAAAGTATATAATAATAAGTAAGCGCCGTGATTTGCATGTACTCGTGTGGTTAACTTTACAGGAGAATACTTCATAAAAGAAGACTAACCAGAGAGAAAATCTGTAAACACTTACCACGGAAGATTAGAAGAAGGTGTCGTGCCTGTATCTTTACTCATGTTGGACTTGCAAGTGCACAACTTTCAACCAGAAGAAGACAAACCGTAAACACTTGCAGAACTGGGCAACATCAAAAACTCGGATCTCGGCTCGGCGCCTTATTTGCTGATTGCCAGGTTGGACTGCTACTTCTTTCCAGGAACTCATAAGGTTCAGAGCCGAAGGTCGGAATATGAGGAGGGGGGGGGGGTGGAAAAGGAGGAGGAAGTTTAGGCACCGTGAGCGCTTCTCTCTCAAACTATTAAACATTTTATAGACAATAATTGGGTGGTAATGGTCTCAGATGATCAAATACAAAAACAAAACAAAAAACAAAAACAACAACAGTATATTAAGCGATAGGCGGCCCAGGATAAGTTGCGGAGGTGTTATATGTTTTCCGTATTGTGAACGCTGTAACCATAGCGTCTTTTCATCGCTCGCTTGCGTGATTATTTTCATGTTTTGCTACCTGCGAGATGGTTCGGGAGTGAGGATACACTGATGTTGTTCTATTCCTGCTCTCCTTGTTACTGCTTTCTTTCTCTCGGGGAGGGGAGGGGGGCAACGAACGTAGAAATACAAAAATATCACAGTTTCGATAGCCAAGAATCTTCGTGACTGCGGCGCTTCCCCTGCAGTACTTCTTACTTGTAAACAGGCGCCTAAGGTGCCTGAAATAGACTTACGACACAACCTCCCGCAAACAGTACATACGAAAGCCTAATCAAGCCAATATCATAACAACCCCGCAACTTAGGAGAGGTCCAGCGACCTAATGATTCATCAATCGCAATGGAAGTTACTCTAATCCTGAGCCGCTTACCGTGTATTGAACCAAATGTTTTCCAAACATACATACACACACTCACGATATGAAAAAGACTAACCACTCCACCCAGTAATGTACAACATGGTTAGGATGTCCCCTCAAACAAATTATAGCAAGTATATGTTATGAAAGTATCTGTTACACAATGTGTAGATCTAGAAACGAAGTCGGACCCATCGAGATGTGATTGGTCGTTCATTTATGCGTCTTAACCTTTGAGACGCGTAAGTCTAAGTGGCAGGGGTGTCAGGTTGTATTGTGTCGACCCCCCTCCCCCACATGTGGTCTTTCAGAAACGCCATGGTATCCTCCTCGTAGCCCGCCAACGTTGACAGCTAAGATAAAATAATGTCCTACTTAAAATCCGAGATGGCTAGGATATACCCACTAACAAACTCTAATTCCCCTTACGAGTGAAAACGCAATGCTGGCGGCCGCTGCTCACTCAACAACGATTAACACGCAACGCAGAAAGCTTTACGAAGACAACAATACACCGGGACACCTCTCTAACGTAGACCAGCCTGAGCAAGCATCAATAAAAGAGCAGCTAACGTGTAGCTTGGCCGACACCACAATTTGTTTATATATCTTTTGTTATTTCATCTATTTTTAATTAGTATTCAGCATATTATTATTATTATTATTAGTATAATTATATGTTCTGAATGATAAATAAATACAATAGCATAATTGAAATAATATAAAATTTATAAACATATTTTTAGAGTTGGCATTTGTGGCTTAGGCGTTGCGAAAAAGCTTAGTAATATCGGGGTGCCGGATTTGATCCCAGCCGCGGACAGTTTCGTGCGATGGTTTCGTCCGTGCTACCGAGAGATGGGCGTTTAGTTAGCAATTGCAAACCACTGAACGTAAAATCTGCCTAGAAAAAAAAGCCACAATAGCAACAACAACAACAACAATAATTGCTGGGGTTTGGTTCTGCAACAACATGTAAAGGATGTGCAACTAACTTGATTTTTAAAGACAATTCATGTAGGTGGTTAACCCCCCCCCCCTTTTTTTTCACCCCCCCCCCCACAATGGTTCTGCGTCATTTCTTTATTGGCGTGTGCCCTTTGCCTTATTGCATAAAATTGTTGTTATTTCACAAGCTGTTCTTTTCCTCCGTACAAGGTGTTCCACTTGTCTGGTCTCGGAGGGAGTAGCGTTCTTCTTGTCTCACTGAGTTTTGGGCACTCAACGAGATGGTGTTCAACAGTTTCGTAGGGGTAGTTACATAGCTGGCACTCTGGGGAGTGTTGCATAAAATATACGTTGAATGATAACAGCAAAGTAAGATAATAAAATAGTACAAATTAAATCAATTTTCTTTACATTTTTCAACAGAAACAATATTTAGTTTACCATAAATTACTTTTGGCTGGCGCCTCGTTGACTATAATTTCCCGAACGTTTTTTATTGGGGGGGGGGGGGGGGGGGGGGGGGGGGGGGATTCATTCATTAACATCTGTTTTCTTCTTCTGTCATCCCACTCATACCAAGTTGCAGCTCATTGTCACGGTTTTCTGTATTTGTCTTTCGCTTCTCGGGTGGCTTGCAGATTTCAGCTACACCATTTATTCATATCTTTCTTGGTCCTCCTCTCATACGTTCTGCTGTAAAAAAAAAAAGTCTCACATGCAGTCTGGTCTCACTAGATGGCCGAACCATTTCATTCTTTGTCTGTCAATATATTCCAGACGTGGTCTTATTCCAACTTTCTCTCTAATGCAGGTATTCATAAACTTGTCTCGTCTCGTGTTGTTAGTGACCTTGAGGAGTTCTGTTGAGTTGAGATTAGGCGGCTATTAATAATTTGCTGCTTTGTTGGAAGGGAGACATTTTCGGTGTGTAAGCAGAGGGATTAACTGGCAGGTGGCATTTGCCTTCTGTACTCTGGCGTCTATCTCTCTATCTAGTCTGCATTCCTCCGTGTAACAACACAAATTACACATCGCTCATATAAATAATATCGTAATATATAATATAATATAACACACACATATATATATATATATATATATATATATATATATATATATATATATATAGGCCTACTCTGAGACCTCGTTTAACGCTATTAACCCCACTATAACCGTAAGGGTTGAGCAGAATTATTTTGGAGAAAAAAAAATTACTTCTACTGCTCAGCTACTCATCACCATCATGTTCCTCTACTGCAGTCAAGCGACACGGGGCTCTATGGGTAGTGCTAATTACAAAAATTATCCTGTTCAATCCTTAGGGTTATAATTGGGATTTACGGTATTTCTTGAGTTCTACAGTATATATTTATTATAATTTATTTAAGGTAAATATGTAAATTGTATAATTTATAATATCGCTTTGATACTACTTATATTTATGAAATAAATTGTACTATGAATGTTTAGATAATAATAATGTTTCATGTATTTGACTGAAGAATATTTTTTTATATTGCGATTTATATTATCCAGGCAAAATGTATAGTAATTCTAAGGTGTTTCATTTCACATAGGGAGTTTAGGCCACAACTAGTGGAAGCCCTTCCCTCCTAGAAAATTTACAAGAAGACAGTAATCTCCCGCCAACTGTTTTTGTGTTATCTCTTCAAAGCATTTTATTTTTCTGTATTTCACCTATATTATTTTTAAATGCATTATTACATTTATTTGCCATTCGTCACATTATTATTGCACACTTAAACAAGGGTTAGGTCCATTAAGCACCACCGTGAGACCTCTCAATGATGTATTTACGTCGATACCCTTGCCCCACAAGTGTTGATTATGACGAAGCAATGGCATCACTGCCCTAATTGGTTCTAGAACTGTCTTGTTGGTTTGTTATTGGTTTTTTCCCACCTTCAATCCAAGATAAGAAAGTCTCCTGAAGATCAAGATTTGGGCATACCTTCGAAAGACAACACAATCTATTGTAAGTTGATATTACTTCCAAGAATCGACTCTAGGGAACATAATCTATTGTAAGTTGATAATACTTTCAGAACCGACTTAATGGGACGTAATCTATTGTAAGTTATTACTTTAAAAAACCGACTCTAGGGGAGGTAATCCATTCTTTGTGCAAGGTCACCTAATAAAAATATTCTTTAATGGATAATATTGTTTAAGGTTAGTGTTAGAGTTAGGGCTAACCCTAACCTGAAGAAAATTGTTATGTGAACACACACAAACAATTGATTGTGTCTTTTATGGTTGCCATAAACATATAATAGATTGTATTCCCTAGGGTCACCATTCAAAGGACTGTTGTCATTTAAAATCTTCAGTTTTTTGCACCATGTTTTAGTTTTAAAAAAAATCAGTCATACAGTCGAATAAGTAGAATGGATAAGCAGAAATCGCAGGGATCTAAGAAAATGCTTCATCTTATCAAGAATTCTACTTAACCAGCACAACAACAGAGAAAATTGCCGGGACCTAGCTGGTCATGTCCACTTAACCAAAATTTGACTTTTCAGAGTTGAACTTAAGTGGACTCGACTGTATATACTTAACGGGATGTCCCAGAACCAACACCTACAATGTTTGGCTGTTTAGTTGTTTTGACTGTGGCTTAGGCATTGTGAACACAGTTCGTAATTCCATAATGCCAGGCTCAGTCCAGCTGTGGAAAATTTGCAACAGACTGCCTTGCATTGGTTCCAACAGTGGTATCCAGAACCAACCTTTGAGATAGCAATAGCAGCTATCGAACGTAAAATTGTATGGTGAAATCCAAGCCAAAAAAATCCGGGGCTGGTTTTCGCAATGTCCTGTAAAGAGCACGCAACAAATTTTCAAAAGTTCTTTTATTAGGCAGTTTTAAATTCAGTAGTTTGGCTTTGCTGCTGAACAGTCAGCGTTCCATTTCACTGTCGAAATCAATGCAAAGTGATATTCAGCCAAATAGCCTACAGCTGAATGGAAGTGGGTATTTGAAATAAGGAAGTTAAGAGTCTATGTTTTCATTCAAAACAGTATTGTTAAATCAACATTCCTGCTGTGTTATTTATAATCACAATATCATCGACTGCCTTGTGGACTGGCATGGCCGGTCATGCCTCTCCACAATCTGGGACATTCAACAGCATATATTAGTTCATGTTCTATCAACTGGCATGGGCGATCGTGCCACTCCACAGTCTGCAATTTTTAACAAAATGTATCAGTTCATGCTCCATCCATGCCATGACA